TGTAATTCTAAAATCGGAGTTCGATCCCTGCGTGAGCATGGAACAGATAATCAATTGTTTAGCTTAACAACAAGACAAACTATTTCGTTAAAAATGGTTTCGCATTAATACAGAACTGTAGTCTATGTAAGTCACTATCAGATTAAAAGGTAGTTCTGGATAAAAATAATTCTAATCACTCAAAGACTGTTGAAGGGGCAGTAGGTTCAGTTTCGTATCTGTACACAGACGACCATGGTGTCAAAATCTGAGTGTTCGTTTATCTGATAAATATTAAAACTTTAAAAAATAAGGTCGGTAAGGTTATTTTTACACATATTATTTTATTTTCTTGTCCTATCGAAAATAGTATGTATTTACATGTACTCCTGATCCTTCTGTTGGACAAATTTACTATTTTTCAATTAAATCGAATATTCCATACCAAATAACGGTTTATTCATGTGTTCAAAGCACTTTTCTAATGGTATTTTATCATAATATGATTCCCTGGATAGTATTTTTAAATGCCGTTTTCTTTCTAAAATTCACCAGTGGATTTATAAAAATATATATATTACATCTCAGAGCAAATATATTTTTTTCTTCTTAATCTCAGAGCATATATATGTATATATGTTCTGAGATGTGAAATAGATTATATTCCCTGTTGCATTTTTCTTCAGTGTGAATGTTTAGTTTGGGTGTGACTTAATATCTAGCACGCCCGGACTATTAGTTTTAGGGTTTATGGTTTGCATTTTGGAGCTGTAGAAGAACCATAAGAGGGATGGTCAAATCCTACTATTTGGTCCTATAGGAATAGACCAATACCTAGTTATGTAACTTTTTTGCGCGAACATTTTGAAACAAAAACCAAACTATATTAATGCTTTCCTGTTTTGTTCTCGTATCAAATATATTGCTTGTATATCTCTAAATCTCACTTTCTGTTGCGTTAGCGAAACGACAGCGAAGCATTCTCTTTCAAGATGACAATTGGATTCTGCCTTCTTTATTATGGTACTTTTTCTGTGTTAACACTTTCTAATTTCGTCATTTTATTTGTAATACACTACATATATATATATATTTCATTACATGTTTATACTAGATTTACATCGGAATAGTTTAAAATCCTAATATATGAAGTAACAACAGAAACTATGTTTGACAAACAAAATGTATAGCACTGTAAGGTGTTTACCACTCACATCATGGTTTACTATTTTATTGGATGTAAACTTATAAAAGGTTTGGATAACTGCAAGGCAGTTCATCGCCTGATTGAAAGTCTAACTTATATAATTAACAGTCGAGTGTTTTAATATTTTTACAAGTTGATCTGTTTTTCTGATAAACTTCTAATAAACTGTCGATAAGTCAAAGAAAAAAGCAATAGGTGGATCAGCGATAAGCTTAAGGGCTTATAACGCTAAATATCGGAGGTCGATACCCACAATGAACACAGCTCAAATAGTCCACTGTGTAGCTTTGCCCTTAAACCTAAACGAAAACAAAGAAGACACAAAAGAAGTCATCTGCGCGAAAGTCTGTTTATTTTCGACAGATAAAAGTCAACTTTTAAACAGAAGCAAAGTGTTGGATACATTTCTCATCTCATAAACATTAGCTATTTACAATAACAACTTTAATATTTGCTAAATTCGGTGTTTTCTAATGAATAAGGACCATAAGTGCTTTTTGTTCAATACTTAAATTATGTAAAAAAGACAAAAAGGTTACCAGTTATATTCTGTTTTATTTCAGTTTCCGTTTTATAAAGTCATCTTTGTGCTGGTTTAATTTAATGTACTACTTATATTTTCTGTGAAACGTTAAACTCATAATATCTCTGAAAATTATAACCATTTTTAACATTTTTTTAAAGTGTACTCTTCCTCTTCAAAATCAAGACGATTCTGAAAATGACGTTTAAAATTATCTTATCGTGCATGTAATACAAGTATAAATCTATAAAGTCATGTTATTACTGATTCATCTACGAATTTCAAGTCGCATTTCATTGGTTGTATCTGAAGCGTGTAGTAGATAAGAAATCCTATATTTTGCGAAGTATAACAATTTTAAAGTTTGAATTAATAATACTTTTTAAAGCTGAAAATCCTGGGCTGGAACATAGACAGGAAACTCAGTAGCACGAGTCCCGCGTTGTTGTCACTCCTGATTTAAGATCCTTCTCGTTCTTTTTTTTATGTGTGCTAAATGTGTTACTTTCTAGCTATCATCATCTTAATATAAAGATAATTCATTATGTGCATGTGTGTGTTAGCAGCCATTTCCCACAGTGGGCTTGCTCTATTACTGTAATTTTTCGTATGGTAACTGTAAACTGTCCAACGATGTACATGGGGTATTTTTGTTTTAGGATCTATTACTGTAATTTTTTGTATGGTAACTGTAAACTGTCCAACGATGTACATGGGGTATTTTTGTTTTAGGATTTTTGCCAGAAAATGGATATAAAAAAACCTTTACATAGGGCATATTTCAACTTTTTATAGACTTCTGGCACTGAATATAAAGACACAAGTACTTAATCAGTTAAATGAATCAATTATTATCTTCCTCAAAGTAAGGTATGCAATTAGCGTCTAATGAGGTCATTAGGGATTTAATGACAAAAGTAAGAAGAAAGGGGAACATTATCTAACATTGTTCTTTCTACAATGTTTGCTTCCTTAATGAGAACCCTCAGCTAATAAACATAAATTATCATTGTAATGATGAAAAGTTCCAAACATTACATAATATTTTATATATTCTTGACTTGGGCTCTCAGGTGGAAATATACGACATTAGAGCTGCCTTTACTTTCGAGTTCAAAATTTAATTTCTGACACGATAAATATAATATATTGTTATACGGTTTTGTTGTAAAATATTTTTTAACTTAGTTGAAAAAAAAGTTTTCTCATCACATCTGTATTGTGCCGATTTTATAATTACTCTAAATTAATCCTCTTGAAAAACGAACGGCTCCCTAGTGAATTGTGTTTGCTAGCCTTCCGATGATTGTTAAGTCAGTCGTCGTATGAATTTTAAGCCACGCCCCTGATAATTGTTGAGCTATTCACCAGGCCCGGCATGGCCAGGTGGTTAGGGCGCTCGACTCGCAATCTGAGGGTCGCGAGTTCGAATCCCCGTCACACCAAACATGCTGGCCCTTTCAGCTGTGGAGGTGTTATAATGTTACGGTCAATCCCACTATTCGTTGGTAAAATAGTAGCCCAAGAGTTAGCGGTGGGTGGTGATGACTAGCTGCCTTCCCACTAGTCTTACACTGCTAAACTATGGACGGCTAGCGCAGATAAGTTAAGTCAGTCGCCAGATAATTGTCGAAAGATGTGCAGAATTCTTCACAACTTTTTTTTTCAGTCATATATAAAAGAGCCTGAATTCACTCATAATGTGTTATCATTACATAACACAGGAACCATAGGTTATTCTACGGATTTACTTAAACCCTGAATGTATAGTTTTTTCAATAACATTTAATAAAATAAAGCTTATATTTTAATGAAAAGTTCAGTGTTTTTAGATCTCGCAATTACTAGATTTTTTTTTTCGTAAATTATTGGCTTTATTGTATCATTCATTGGTACTTCGAACATTCTAAAAGCATGCTTTTAAAATTTAAACTAAACTAAATTTTTCAAAGATATCAAGCTATTAAGGCTAAATAAAATTATGTGTTAAGACAAAAACAATCATTGTTCTTGTTACTTCTCATGTTTGTGGTAACTGACGATCTTAAAGAAAATTACTTCTATAATCAGAGAAATCAAACTTAAGCTGTGCCCTAAACACAAGAGACCAAAAACACCCATCATATTGGAAATGCCCAGTGCTGAGACGCTTTCTTTAGGCTCACGGTTAACACAATTAGTGTTATTTCTTGACCTGTCTTCCAGGAGTTTGTAAATCACGTGACTCTCCACAAAATGGCTGATCCTTAAAAAAAAAGAAAAAGTTATATCAAGTCTACATTTGGGCAACATATGAACATAAATAGGTTGAACAATTTTCAAAAATAGTTACTGAATGGAAATATTACACGTAACTAAGTATAGCCCGTGCGAACAAAAATGGCTTTACATTTTAAATTATGAAGTGATTTCTAGACTAAATTGGTGGCAGTATCAAACATACAACGGCTGATATGGTCATTAACTTCTTTTTCATGTAGACTGGCTCCCTCTTTATGTGATTTACCCAAGAACCAGCGGTATGTCTGCAGACTTACAACGCTAGAAACCGGGTTTAGATACCCGTGGTGGGCAGAGCACAGATAGCCCATTGTGTAGCTTTGTGCTTAACTTCAAACAAACAAATTTTTGTTTTTTGATATTTAAATATAACATAACGCATTAAGAAAGTTTTTTTATGGATATAGTAGATTGAGATAAGTAAAATATAGAATTTTAGAAACAGTATTTAACAGTTCATTTTGATAGCTAATATTAATGATTGTAACTGTGTTTGATTAAATATTAGTAAATATTGTCGCTTAAACAAGGATTTCTACTCATGGGATGGATAAACCGTGACACCTTCAGAAAACCATTTCTAAAGACGCCATATGAATCTGGTCACCCATTTTTGTCGATAACAAGAAAAGTTGCGCAATAGAACGTTGTGTCTTTGGATAGGAAAATGTGCTGGTATCTTTTTTTATATATATATATACATTAACCTTTAGAGTTTTTTACAAATGGGTATGAAAATACACCAAGTAAAGCTATAAAACTACAAAATCGTTGCTAATATTTAATAATAATAATAATAATGGATAATAAGGTTTTCTATCATTTATTCCATTGTTTCCAATTGGCATGAAAAATCATTTGATCAAGAAAAACTTACCTTATGTGTAGTGTCAACGGTCACAAAGAGCAGATTTATGTATTTCAAGAATAAATGTTCTTGTTTGACAGATACCTACTGTTTTTGTAATGCTTTGCTTAAATCTTTGTTCAGGTTTCTTGCTTGACAGATACCTACTGTTTTTGTAATGCTTTGCTTAAATCTTTGTTCAGGTTTCTTGAGAGACAGAGGACGTACGGCATATTGTAAAACGTCTTCGTTGCAATTCGAAAAGTACACGTTTCATCCGGAGCCTCATTGTAACGTTGTATCACAATACCAACAATAGAAGATATGTCTGTAATCAAAACATGGGTGCCTGACTGGACATCGTTCAGTACCTCATCGACCACCTCTTTCTGGTTCGGGATCAATTTCATTCTTTTCCACAAGTCCTGATAGAGTTCCTGATTACTAAACTATATAACAAAACATTCAACAGTTGTGAAGGTTTTCTGAACTAGTTATTTCGAATGTCTGCGTTGAACACAAATACTCGTTCTCATTTAACTACATCCCTTTACTTTTATTTTAAATCGAATTCTTTCATATTTGCATGTACCAAATCCAAATGACTCCACAGTTACTTGTATTATCCTACATGTATTTGTAACGTTTAAATAGGCAACTTTTATAAAAAAAAACGACGTGAAGATATTTAGCTAAAACGACGTTTATGGTATTAAGGTAACCTTACTTATCATAACAGTAAAGATATTTAGTTAAAACAACGTTTATGGTATTAAGGTAATCTTACTTTTCATAACAGTAAAGACATTTTAACTAAATATCTTCACTGTTATGATAAGTAAGGTTACCTTAATACCATAAACGTCATTTTAACTAAATACCTTAATACCATAAACGTTAACCTTACTTTTCATAACAGTGAAGGTATTTAGTTAAAATGACGTTTATGGTATTAAGGTAACCTTACTTATCATAACGTGAATATATTTAGTTAAAACGACGTTTATGGTATTAAGGTAATCTTACTTTTCATAACAGTGAAGGTATTTAGTTAAATGTCTTGCGCATAGGTCAAGAGATGGTTTGAATTTTTTACATATATCTATCGTTTTTCAAACACATACATTAACATACTGTTGTAGAATATTAGTTAATTAGCATTAATGAGTCAAGACTTCATACCCATTAAATTATCATATAAATGTATGTATAGACGGCGGTAGACAATAAAAAGTTAGCCCAAACATAAAATTATCCAGATTTTAGCAACGATGTTGGAAGTATGTTTATTTCTCATAAAAGATCTGGTTCAGATAACTTTATGCTCTATATTTCCACGTTAAAAACATGTTATTCTTTGAGACTTTGTGCACGAAACAAAAACTAGTCGTTTACGATTTTGCTGTATTGTGAACAGTGTGTGCTCTTACAAAGACTTGTGAAGAGTATACACGTACCAAGTTAAATACAAGGTATATTGCCTATAAAAGCTCAGTAGTAGTAGTCGTCGTTTAAATTAAGTCCGACTCCTACTTCCACAGGAAATGGAAATGATGAGAGAAGTAAAATCAAGCCTTTAACGTTGTGCCGAGAAGGTTCTCTGAATTGTACAAGTCGCACATAAAATAAAAATGTCATCTTAGAGAGCGTTTCAACAACCATAAATCTTCTATTAACACCGAAAAATACCTCCCTGTTCTCCAACACTTTAACCAACCCGGTCATTCTATTAAAAATGTTACTCTCGTCGGCACTGAAACCGGTTTCAAAACCAAAGCCGATGGAGATATAAGAGAAACCTATTGGATTGTGACTTTAAATACTGTTCAACCTTTTGGAATAAATCAAGATCCTGGAACCAGTGATTTCTGATCGTTAGTTTGTTCTCTGTCAGAAAAATTGTTTTTGTTTTTTTGTTGTTGTTATTGTATGAATTCACAATCTTTATCCCTAATCTTTTTCATTTATGATAATTTTCGAGTTATTTTTTAATTATATTTGTTTAACGTTCTTTTTTTTAATCAATCTTCATAACTCACTATTATTTCACACTATGAACACTTAGTGTAGTTTCTCTTGGCCATTTTTCTTTTTTAATACATTTCTAACTTCTTTAAACCTAACATTCTTGTTTCCGGTAGTATTGCACCTGAAATGAGAAACACTTATAACAATACATTGAAAGCTACTCAGAACACTTCCGGATTTCCATGGTAATGTGCATGACGTCACTTAAACTTCACTTTATCTCACACTTTGCTTTACACGGTCATTTCTAGTTGGTCCCTGAAGAAAAAAGATCCACCTTTCGAAAGCGCTATGGTTATAGGGTATCGTAATTTTGAGTTAAATTGATTTCTTGAACCTACGTGTTTTTCTAACATCATGAGATAAAAATTTCATTATTCCAGAGGAACAACATTTTACGATTTAAAGCTTGTTCACCGCTTTCAAAAGAAGTTATGTAAATTACCAAGTGTCCTCGTGAAAATGATAGTTACAAATCTATTATTTAGACTTTCTGATAATTAAAATAATTCCGCACTGATTACCGTTTACCCTATTAAGGTATATATAATAATAATTACTCTTACTAAACTCTTATTCAAATACTTTCTTTACATTGAATTATTGCAGTTAGAGAGGAAGAAAGAAGTGTTAAAAATAAGAGTTAAAAATTATAGAAAATATAGTTAAAAACAAGATTTGTGGATAGTACTTCTCTAAATCTCTAGTTCCATAATATGATGCATAAAAGATGAAATATATTTTAAAAAATAGACCTTGAAGAAAGCGCTTGAGTTTGGGTTGTTGTTGTGTTTTTTTTCTAAAAATGATGTAAAGACACTTATCCATCATAAATGATGTACATTTCTCAACAAGTGTAATAATAAGTGACACTTAGTAATACAATTTGGCGTTTTTATGTCCTACAGTCAGTATGGAAGATCTCAATCAACAGTGAATCTGACTGCTACAACGTTTACCTTGAATAAAGCTTCAGTGGCTCCTCCTGAATAAATCACGGGTGTGATATGTTTGAACTCACGAAGATCCTCCAAGCTGTCGATATGGCGGGCATTTCTACCAATCAGCATTGACGACAATAACTGGCCTCCAAAACTACACATTACTACAAACACGGCTAGAATCCAGAATCCAAAAAGGAGCCGTCCGTGTAATGATCCAGGCTGATGAGTTATACCTTATTGGGGGATGATAAATAAGAAAATTATATGTATTAAAAGCGTCTTTGATGAGTATCTAAAGCTATTTCCTTGATATTAACTAACGTCTTTCACTGGACGCTGGGTAATTGCAATAATAAAAATTCAACATAATATCATTGGGTAATGGCAATAATAAAACTTCAACATAATACCATTGGGTAATGGCAATAATAAAACTTCAACATAATACCATTGGGTAATGGCAATAATAAAACTTCAACATAATATCATTGGGTAATGGCAATAATAAAACTTCAACATAATATCATTGGGTAATTGCAATAATAAAACTTCCATCTTTATTGTTGTCTTTCAAAATTTGTAGTGCACATTGGAGGAATTACACATTTTGATTAAAAGGTTAGAGAAAAACGACCATTAAACTCGAGGTAATTATAAAATAACTTTTATTTGAACCAATGTTTCGCCTTTGCGGCTTCATCGGGGTTAGTACATCAGGATTGTATGTACTAACCCTGATGAAACTGTAAAAGCGAAACGTTGGTTCAGATAAAAAGTGTATAATTATCTGGAGTTTAAAGGTTCCAACTTTATCATTATTGCTTCTAAAGTTATCAAATTTACATGGTAGGAACAGTATTGGTTTTATAACTTAGAACTTAACCAACCAGGAAATAAATGTGAGGGTAAGTAATCATTTAGTGGTTTTGCTGCTCGTGAATTTATCCGTGTTTTAAGTGCTGGTATAATTTTAAAATTCCATATCTAATATTATATAATATGTCTAAGTGAGACTCAGCATGTTAACTTTCGTTGCAACCTACAATTTATATAAGGAAACATTATCAGGAATTTTGCATGTTTACATCCAGACCCAGTACTCCACTACGTTTAGTTTGTATTACACGTCATAGTGCACTGACCTCATTCGTGAATTTGTTACTTTGTATCGGCTTGTATGAACAAATGGCGTTTCTCTTCTCTTTTTTTTTTCTTCTTTCTTTCTTTAGAGCTAATTTAGACTGAGACGTACATTCAATCCTCAAAGCTTCAACGAACAAGGTAATCAGTTATGTGACGTTTGAGTACATATATTTATATTACTAGCTGGAGTACCTGTCCCCTGGACGAACGTTATGTAAATTCATGATTAATGAAAGACTATCTTAGGGCATGAAAGTTACTTCCCTTATATGTAATTGTAAATAACGCAAAAACGCCCATAGAAAACTGCAAAACGCAAAACTGAAATTTTATTTATCTCTCCATGGATCCAGTGAACCTCCATAACAATTTTGATAAAGATCCATTTACAGGGGACGAAGTAGTGGTAAAAATCGCAAAATCATCCATAAAAACCGCAAAACGCAAAATGCAACTTTGAAAATTCGTATGTACCCTTGCATGGATCTAATAAACCTCCATACCAATTTTGGTACCCTGCGAAGTAGTTACATGGACATACAACAGACAGTACTATTATATATATATATATATTACAAATAATACTTTCAAAACGAAGGTATGAACAATGGCGAAAACAACAGCGTATTTATAGTAGTCAAGGTAACGTATATATCTACATTTCAAGTTGGGAACGAAGGCATACCACCTAGTTTTCATTATCACTAAATTAAGATTAAGATTTAGCAACAGTAATAAAATTATTACGAGTATTACTCGTTGAAAGATAATTCCACTTTATTTCCCTAATTAACCTAGTAATTCTAAGTTTCACAAATAAACTTGCTCTGGTTCGAGTCTTTTGCGAGAATTTGAACTTCCGTCATAGTTACCTTGGTTCATGTGTGATGTAAAACATGTCCACAAGGCGTGATACAAGTTCTTGAGAAAACCATGTGGCGATCCAGATGTGATACTTTCGGTTTTACGCTGATTCCAACGTTCACGAGCAGTGTTCAACAAAGCAGTAACAAACGAAACCAAAACCAAACTGATGATGGCTGTCAACCAAACCTAATCATTTTGAAAGACATTTGCTGTTAAACACATCAGGAAAATTTCACGAACGACAACAAAACACCTACTATACATGTCCAAAAGAAACTTAAAGATACGGAAAATAATCTTTTTGTTGTTTTTTAGAAGTTGTAATGCATATTGGAGGAGTATAGATATTTTGACAATAATGTTTAAAAACAAACGACTTTTACTTTCCAGTTAATGAAACAAAAATACCTTTTTTAAAGCTACATTTCTTTGTGGTTTCGTCGGGGCTTGTACAAAACTGATTGATA